GCAGTCGCGTCACACGGAGACCGGCTCGGGCGGCGCTGCGCCAGGTAGCCACCCAGCGCGGCTGCCATCGCGTACCGGGCCGGGGCACTCACCGCGCACGCTCGGGCCCTGCCTGCTACCCCTTCGCGGCGCGGCGGGACAGCGGCCGCCTCCTGGGCCCGGGCTCCGGGGAGGGAAGGCAGGTCCCCACGCGGCTGGGAGCTGGACGGGTTACGCGTCGACCGACCCGAGATACTTTCCAAGGCTGCGGCTGTAATTTAGCGAGACCTCACTGAAATGCCGGGCGAGGCCGACTGGCCCCTGATGTCGCTCCTTAACCTAAAGGAACTCGCATGAAGAGCCCGTGGCCCTCGAGACTGCTAAGTGCACGCGCAGCCTTACTCTTCTGGTGAAATGACACCTCGTAACCTCATGCTTTTCCTTTAGAAAACCCACCACTCCATATCCCTAAACTGAGAAGGAAAAACAAAGTGGTGTACCCGGCTATTTTGGAAAATTTTCTTCCAGTAACCATATAATTGGGAAAAATTCACAGGTTTTTTTTTTTTTTTTTTAAGATGACGGGTAAGGGGATCTCAACCCTTGACTTGGTGTTGTCAGCACAACGCTCTCCCAAGTGAGCAAACCGGCCATCCCTATATGGGATCCGAACCCGTGGCCTTGGTGTTATCAGCACCACACTCTCCCGAGTGAACCATGGACCGGCCCCAAATTCCCAGGTTTTAATAAATGAATTAGAAAACGAGTTGAAAGGGAACTTCTACAAGATGTGGGAGTTTATTTTAAAACACTTCCCTTTAAACCCATTGTACTGAAACTGAGCAACCACAAGACCGTAAATGCTGCAAACAGTGGAGAAAGCGTGGTAAAGAAGTGTTGGGAAGCTTCCTGTTAAAGCGCAAGAGAAATCCTACTTTGAAAGCCTCAAGGCACACGAGCTGGTCGGTGGGGCGGACTTAAAGCCGGAACGCAATTGCAGCTGGTGCAGTTTTCCCGCCGGAATCAGAGTCGTAGGCAGCATTCCCTACTGCGCAGGCGCAATGCCACTTACCCAGCATGGAGGTGGTGGGTCTCCTGTGTGTGGCAGCGGTGGTCCTGGCGTCGGGCTTCTTCTGGGTTTGGGACTCCTCAGAACGAGTGAAGAGTCGGGAGCACGCAGACCTGCTGGGAGCCGGAAGCCGGAGTCTCCTGGTGGTCGCGCACCCCGACGATGAAGCCATGTTTTTTGCTCCCACAGTGCTTGGCTTGGCCCGCCTGAGGCACCAGGTTTCTCTGCTGTGCTTCTCTACAGGTAGGAGGCCGTAGGCGGGGCGCTGGAAGCTGGGGTTATAGAGGGGATTAGGTGCTAACCGGTCTCAGTCGACTTCTTCCCGAAGGGAAGCTAAGTGAGTGCACCGAAGGTCCTTTTTCTGGACCCCTCACAGGCTGGGGACAGGAGCTGCCGGCTTTCCCAGGTGGGTTGGGGGACGTCTGCAGCTTGCGTACTCCACTCTCTGCGGGCAGGGTTTAGGAGCAGAAAAGCAATAGCTCGCATTTGGTTCCATCCAGTACCTGCATTTCCTTTGGGAACTGCAACTGTACTCCTTGTTCTGTGGAACCTTTTCAGTTGCAGAAGGTTCAAGAATAATGATCCTATTTACACCAAACAGAATCTATGCTGTATCATGCCTGCTCAGCCCTTAAAGTTTCATTTATAAATGATAGGAAAGGACCTTCCTGCTGCTTTTAAAACCTATTTCGTGCTAGAAAGATGCCTGTGTCAAATTGAAGTAGACTCAGATGACTAGATAGAAAGTAATTTTGTAGGTAATTTTATAGTTCGGCTCCATCTAACTTTCAATGAAGGAGCCTTTTAAAGAATAGGTTTTATGTTACGGTCCAGAGAAGATCAAATGAGAAAACAAAAATTGACCGTGATACTTGATTATGGTGATAATTGCAAAACTGTATAAATGAAGTAATTGAACTGTACACATACAGTGGGTGAATTTTATATGGTATGTCAAATTATACTTCAATAAAGCTGATTTTTAAAATTGCCCGTGACCTCTTTCCCATTTGTGTGTGGGTCCCGTTCTTTTTCTATACAGACTTTTCACAGAAATCACATTTTATACAATTTTATATCCTTTTAACTTTAACTTTTCCATTTATTTAACAAATATTTATGTGCTAGGCCTTATTCTTTGCCCAAGGGATACAACAGTAAAATCGAGCTAGATAAAGATAGTGCCCTCATGAAACTTATAATTAAAACATTTCCCCATGTTAATGAGATCTATATATATTGCCTTTTAATTGCTTTCATCGATATAAACCTTAATTTAGTCATCCTTTATTGTGTGTATACTTGGGGCTTTTCCCCCCAGTTTATCTCTATTACAAATAGCATTGAACATCTTTATGATTCCGTGTAATGTCATTAGGATTGACATCTAAAACTGGCTGTTTTAAGGCTTTGCATGCAAATCACATTTCTAAAAACATTATACCAATTTACATTCTTACTGGCGGTAATGAGGATATCTGTCTTAATAGATTAGCAATGATTAGTTTTTTTTATAAATTTCTTGATTTGCTTAATTTTTTCCCTCAAAAATCTTTCATTACCAGAAAGATTAAACCATCTCTCATGTTTATTAAGAATTTGGGGGCCGGCCCGGTGGCGCACTGCTATAGTGCACCTCTTGGGAAGTGCGGTGGCGCTCCCGCCGAGGGTTCAGATCCCACATACAGACCGGCCGCTCACTGGCTGAGCAAGGGGCGGGAGCAACACCGAGGGCTGTGATCCCGTGGCCGGTCCTGGTCCGGTACGGATCCCGTGGCCGGTCCCGGTCCGGTACGGGCGCGACACTGAGGGTTGCGATCCGTTGCCGGTCACGAAAAAAGACAAAAAGGAAAAAAAAAAAGAATTTGGGTCTAAGCACTTTTCTTCCCACTTTGTGCTCTGTTAGAATTAACTGCTAGGGCTGGCCAATTAGCTCTCTTGGTAGAGCATGGTGTTGGTAACACCAAGGTCAGGGGTTCGGATCCCATTACCCAGCCGCCAAAAAAAATTTTAAATAAAATTTTTTTTAATTTTGAAGAAAGGATATTAGTTGCAAGTAATTGCCCCAGTTTTTTTTCTTTGCTTTTAATTATATTTTATACTACAACTATGAGAGTCAAATTATAAGCAAGTTTGTTTCAAGATCTGCAAGAGAAGCCTGGATTTTATTTGCAAAATATTATAGGTGCAGTGTGTTCTTTAATAAATTTCTCCTTGTTTTCAATAGGTTCATAAAAATTTGGGACCAGAAATCAAAATTTTTTCAAATAAAATATATAAAGCATGCACTTGGCAGTCAATTTTTTTTTCCATGCCATTTGCTATGAATAGTCAATATCTTTATTTTCTTTCATCATTTCCTCTGAATTCAACATGACATTTTAAATTGTTCTCTCTTGTTCTTTTTAAAATTACTTTTAAAATTCTTAACTCATTCAAAAATGTATGGATTAAACATTCCTCACTCTCCCTACTTTCTCCTGACGTTCTAACATGAAAAGCTAATAATTTGTGATACAATATAATGAAATCTAGAATGGTGTGATGGAGAAAGTACTGTACTATGGACACAAAATGGAGAAAAGCATTAAATTTCTTTTCAAAGGTTTAGGTTAAAGGGGCTAGCCAGTTAGCTCAGTTGGTTAGAAAGTGGTGTTGTAATACCAAGGTCAAGCGTTCAGATCCCCATATTGTCCAGATGCCAAAAAGTAAAAAAAATTAAGTAAAAAAAAAAAAAAAGAGCTTCTCTGGATAGGTTTTCTTTGAGCTGTGCTTTAAGTACAGGCGTAGGTTGGAGAGAGAGGACAGCCTTATAACACCAAGTTCACAGGTTCAGATCCCCCTACTGCCAGCCACCAAAAAAAGCAAAAAAATAAAAATAGGAGTAGACACAGGAAGCTTGGGAAGTCATTCTAAGTCTTGCTCTTGGAACGAATGAATAATTCAATTTAAGGGGAAGAGAACAGAAAGAAAAAATGATTTTTTGTTATTGGTGGCTCATTTAATCCTGTCAGCAACCCTACCTGGTAGGTACTATTGTTATTCCTATTTTACAGATATGGAAACTGAATCACAAAGAGTTTAAGTAACAACCACAGTGACCAGCTACAATGTAAAGAAGCCAGAGTCCTGTGGCTCTTCTTTGTTCTAAATCATTATATCCATCTACCTCTCACATTGCCTTGTATGCCATGTCACCTGATGAAATATTTATATTGAATCACAGTGTACATTCCAAGAAACTAGTTCATCAAGCTGCTATTAAAAAAAAAAAAGAATGCCTTGGCCTGACAAGTTTGGGGAACTTAGCCAGATGTGCTATCCCCTCATTTAGAGGTTCACAGTCCTTATGAGACTATAAACATCTTGAGAAGTCTTGCTGTGAAAAGTCCTAATTAACTTTATTTATTTGTTTATTTTTAGTGGCAGCTGGTATGGGGGGATTCGAACCCTGGACCATGGTGTTATAACACTATGCTGTAACAAACTGAGCTAACCAGCCAGCCCCTATTTAACTTCATTTAATTCAGCATTTCTCCAATTCATGTAACCATTGAAATACCTGTTAATATACAGTACACATATCCTAGCTAGTAGGATGTCATTGAATACATTTGGTGGAGAAGTACCATAATGAGTTCTGTGTTTTCAAAAGCTCATTCTAGTGGCCGTATGGAGAATGGTTTGGGAGGAAATATTGATGTCAGGAAAACCAATTTGGTCCATCCTTTCCCCTCTAGACTTTCATCCGATTTCCATGTATTTCTGGTCTGTGTACTACCTCTTTAGTCAGTTTGACATCCCTATCTTAATTACTGCAGCTTATTATCTGGTATGACCAGCCCTGTGATCGTTCTTCAGAGTATGTTTGTTGTTTTTGACCTTTTCTTCTTCCACATATATTTTAGAGTTAGCTTGGTCATGTTTGAGAAAAAATCTTGCTGGCATTTTTATTGATATTTCACTGACTATACTGATCTGATCAATATAAGGAGAATTGACATATTTACAATATAAAGTCTTTCCATCATTTTATGGTATGTCTCCTCATCTGTATTTTATTTATACTTTTATACATTTTGTCTATATTTTATTTATATATTTTATCTATATTTTATTTATACATTTTATGGTATGTCTCCTCATCTATACTGCTCTTCTTTAATGTTTAACAGTTTTATGATAAGGTCTTAAATAAGCATTTTTAATAAGGTCTTACATAAGTATTTTATAATAAGATCTTACATAAATAAGTATTGAGATGATGATTATGTAATTTTGTACTTTAATCTGTTTTTCATATCTAGAGATTCCTTTTGCAGTATATAGTCTCTGTTGCTTTCTCATATTTTGATGCCCTCTTTTATTTCTTTAAATATATTAAACACATATCTGCTCCTAATAATTCTAATTTCTTCAGTCTGTGTATCTGATTCTGCTCTTTGTTCTGGTAACTCATTTTGGGTGACTTGTTTCCATGTGTATTTTGTGATTTTTTTTTTTTTAAATGTAAGCATGTGTTTCTTAGAGCTATATTTGTGGTAATGTTTTGATGATTTACTTTTTTTATTTGTTTGGTTTTTTAAATTATTTTTTTCAAATCAATATTATTAGCATGTTCATTATTACAAATCATAATTATTCTCTATGTGTCTTGCCCAGTCTTTCTCCACCCCCGTTCCCTTCCCCCTCACCTTTAGTAACCATAAATTTGTTCTTTCCTGAAAGATGATTTACTTTTGCTTCAGCCAGCACTACCTATTTCAGATCACTCTAAAATATTACATTGAGATTTTTCAGGCCACAGAGGTAGTGTAAATTCAGGGTCCAAATCCAAAAGTATTAGTTGTTTAATGCCACATAACAAATTATCTCAAAAATTAGTGGTTTAAACTTAAATACTTTCTCATTGTTTCAGACAGAGTACAGTCTCTGTTCCACGATGTTTACTACCTCAGCTGGAGGACCCAAAGACTGGGGACTGGAATCACCTGAAGGCTCATTCACTTACAAGTCTGGCTTACAAGCTGGGGACTTAACTAGAGATATCAGCCAGAACATCCACATGTAGTATATCCATGTGGCTTGGGATTCCTCACAACTCCGTGGCTGGGTTCCTGAGAGAGGGCCTGTGCTAGAGGTAGCTGTATGTCTTTCATGACCTAGCCTTTGAAATCGTGCATTCTCCTTGTTGAGGCAGTCGTAAGTCAAATGAATTTTCAAGGAGAGAAGTAGATTCCACCTCCTGATGGGGAGTGTAGGGATTCTAGAAGTTCATGTGGTACTAGAAATATTGCTATAGCTATAGCTATTTTTGGAAAATACAGTCTGTCACAGCAAGTGAAGCTAACTGTATAGTTAATTTTAGGGGGTGACATTTTTCTTATTTTTCCTTCTACTAAAATCAAGTCTGAGAGAGAAATGTAGCCCCTCCCTCTCTGTCTAGGGTGTATCCATTGAAGGAAGTGCCTTTTGAAGGTCCTGTCTGTATGGAGCTCTCCTTATTTGTGCACAAGCTTTACCTCCTGCTCCCCTGTCTTTAGGCCACCAAGAATATGCAGATGCTGTCATTCCTTTGTATGGCTGAAAAATTTCATTGTATGTATATACCACATTTCATTTATTCATTCATCTATTGATGAACACTTGGGTTGTTTCCACTTCTTACTATTTTAAATAATGCTCCTATGAAGGTTGATGTAGAAGTATCTGTTAGTACTCGTTTTCAGTTCTTTTGAGTATAGTCATCCCTCGGTATTCATGAGGGATTGGTTCCAGGACCTTCCACAGATACTAAAATTCACAGATGCTTAAGTTCCTGCTATAAAATGGTGTAGTATTTGCATATAACCTATGCACATCCTCCCATATGCTTTAAATCATCTCTAGATTATTTATAATCCCTAATACAATGTGAATGCTATGTAAATAGTTGTCATACTGTATTGTTCAGGAAATAATGACAAGAAAAAGTCTGTATATGTTCAATACAGACCCAATTTTTTTTTTTCAAATAATTTTGACCCACAGTTGGTTGACTCCATGGATGCTGATGGAGTTTGGATGTGTTGTCCCCTCCAAAACTCATGTGGAAATTTGATCTCCAATGTGGCAGTGTTGGAAACTGATTGAGTCATGGGGGCGGATCCCTCATGAATGGATTAATGCTCTCCCTGGGGGAGGAGGGCTAGCCAGTGATTTCTCTATTGGTTCCTGCGAGAGCTGATTGTTTAAAGAACCCTGGCACCTTCTCTCTCCCTCTCTCCCTCTCTCTCTCTCTCTCTCTCTCTCCCTCTCTTGCTATGTGATCTGCTTGTACCTGCCAGCTGCCTACCCCTTTTCCTCCAGGAGTAGAAGCAGCCTGAGGCCCATGCCAGATGCAGCTGTCCCAGAATTGTAAGCCAAATAAATGTCTCTTCTTTATAAATTACCCAGTCTCAGGTAATTCTATTATAGCAAAACAAAACGGACTAAAACAGATGCAGAACCCACATATACGGAGGGCCAGCTGTATATACCTGTAAATACAATTGCTTAGTCATGTGGTAATTCTTTGTTTAAATTTTTCAAGAATTGCCGAAATGTTTTACACAGCAGTTGTATCATTTTACGTTCCCACCCGCAATGCATTAGGGTTCTAGTTTCCCCATATCTTTGTCAACATTTGTGAGTTTATATTTTTACTATAGCCATCCTAGTGGATATGAAGTGATATCATAGTTTTGATTTGCATTCCCTATTGACCAATGATGATGAGCATCTTTTCATGTGCTTATTGGCCATCTTAATATCTTCTTTGGATGATGTCTATTCAAATATTTTGCCCTTTTTAAATTTTTAATTTCATTTTTAAATCATGATTTCTTAACCTGGGTTTTGTGGATACATTCTAATGGAAAGGGGTCCAGCTCTCTGGGTTTCAGCTTCCTTTGGGAGGCCAGGCCTCTGGGCTATAGTAACACTCCCTCCTCCCTTTACATCTCCAACCACGGGTTGGTAGTCACTTCTTGCTGTCTCTAATCTCTGGGTAACTTCACTGTTTCCTGTTTGTACCTTAGATCCTCCATTAGTTATGTATCAAAATATTTGCATTAAATTCTTGCTGTCGTAAATATTTGATATGGTTTCTGTTATCCTCGATAGACCCTGACATAGTACCTAAACTTCCTCATTTTATTGTGGAAGAAACTTGGACCTTTTTTTCTTCCTAATACATTTTCAAATTTATTACCTATTTAATTTTTTTAAGTAAAGTGAAATTTCTACCTTATACATTATGATGTATAAATTTGGGTCTTTACAAGTGACTTTAATTTCTATTAGATGTGGTTATGATTGCTAGTTATGCCTGAGAAGTATTAGTTATCAGAAGACTTACAATTATGCAGGTGCTATACGTGCACACACACACAATGTAGTTCTAATAAAGCAATCTACATTAATCCCATTTTCTGTTTTCTAGAATAATAGTCTCTAAATTTTTTTGGTCACATTCTCCTTTTGGTAAAAAACTTTGAGCATATACTCCCATTATGTATTTTTATTTATAGTTCATAAAAGTTTATGGACCACTAATGTGTGCATTATACAGCATTCACAAGAACATATATTTATAAAAGAGACAAGGTAAACAAATTAAGAGGAGAGGTTCTAACGTTTTTCCTCCCGTCCCAGAGTGCACCCATCCTACTTGGACACTGTTCTAAAGTATGTCAGTTATAAGCTGCTGAAGGATCTCAGACATGTATTCTGTTCAAGTGCCTACATTTTCACCACCTTAGTGAAAATAGTTTAAATGGTCTCTGACATCAACTCCCTAAACTCTTGTAAATTCCTTAATTCAAACCCAAGGCAATAAAACTAGCCCTATAAACACGTTAGTCTCAATTCTAAGCAGTTTCCCACAGACTGATGTGCACAGCATTTGAAGTTAGGAATTGCATCATAAGTGTACATTGACTCTTCATTGATTACCAAAGATCAAGTAATCTTGGGGGAAAAAATGGGAGTTTAGGAATTAATAATCTGATAATGTAGAAAAGTTCATATTTATGAATAGAATACTGAAAATGATCACATGCCAGGGAAAATAGGAGAAGGCCTCCTCCTAGAGGAAATAACATTTGGTCTGGATGATGAAGATGAATTGTAATTCTGAAAGACCTACTGCTTTGATATGTATTATCTCATATAACCCTCCAGAAAGCCTTATGAGATAATCATTATTTCTACTTTGCATGTGAAAAAACTGGCTCAGGAAAGTTAGGTAAGTTGGACAAATCACACATGCAATTATTTGCTGGAGAGTTGAATTAAGGGGTGCATTAGCTAGACAGTTGTTCACAATGAGTACAGTTTGAATAATACCAAAATTTCACTATGTTATTATTTGTAAGGATACAGAGGAGTTCTGATTACCAGAACTATTCTTCAGAAATATATGTGTTGGGAAAATAAAGAATACATAAGCTTTTTGGGGTGCTGATGGGGTTGGGATGTCCTAGAGGCATGCTTGGGGATAGCTGATTGCTAAATTCTTTTAAAAGAGGATGTTTAGGGGCCGGCCCAGTGGCGCACTGCTACAGTGCGCCGCTTGGGAGCGCGGTGGCGCTCCCACCGAGGGTTCGGATCCCACATACAGAACGGTTTCCGCTCACTGGCTGAGTGAGGTGTGGGAGCGACGCCGAGGGTTGCGATCCCGTTGCCGGTCCCGGTCCGGTGCGGGCGCGACACTGAGGATTGCGATCCATTGCCGGACATGAAAAAAGACAAAAAGGAAAAAAAATAATAATAATAAAATAAAATAAAAGAGGATGTTTACTTGAATGTTGCCTATACATTTTCCTGTAATACTCAGGAACAGCAGCCTCATTTTTAAATAAATGTTAAACAGATATTTGAGAAATAAAAATTTAAAGGGGCCCAAACTAATAGTGTGCCTAGGTACCCCAGTTCTGAGTGGGGTCGATCCTAAATCTGCATAACTCCAAAGCCAGTGCTCTTGGCTATATGTACCATGCTGTCTCTAGCATATGAATAAAACACAGACAGACAGATGAACACAGAGATAGATACAGAGATGGGGAAGAATTGTGAATGCTGATTCTAAAGATTGTGCTGCTGATATTCTTATTATAGGAGTATCTTATGATAACCTTGGTTTTATATTCTCTTCAACTTTTTATTATACACATTTTTCAGGTAGTTTAAAATCCTTTACGGAACAAGATGGAATGAGAATGAGTGAATAGGTAGGTCTCCACTGTTAAATCTACCACTGTATGTTTGTTATCCTCAGGAAATTACTACAATCAAGGAGAGATTCGTAAGAAAGAACTTTTGCAGAGCTGTGATGTTTTGGGGATTCCACCCTCCAGTGTAATGATTATTGACGACAGGTAATTTATTTTTTAACAACATAGAAGCTCCTTGGCAATAAATATGCAGTGGTACACTCAAAACACACAGAAAACTAATGTAGGTGGATAGGAACATCTTATCTGAGAAGTTTATTTAAAAATAGCTGCACATTTGTTTTTAAATGACAGCATAATGTATGTAAATTTTTTCAGCTTCTGATTTTTGTCTTGAGATAGCTACTTCTCTGTACATCTACATGTCATAAAGTTTTTATTATAAATTTTATTTTATTTTTTTTAAGTGTACAATTTTTTTTTTAAATTTTATTTTGTGGATATACAATGAGGTTGATTATTGTGGCCCATTACCGAACCCCCCCTCCCTCCTCCCTCTC